ATTAACACAGGCTGAAAGGTTCTTATGGGCAGTTTGCAATACAGAGAGTTGGACATAAGCATACAAGGAAAGTTTAGTCTCTATTTTTATATAAGTATATTTTTCTTTATTTGCTTATTAATTTTGTCTTGTATCTCTTGGAAATTTTTTTTTGTTTTGTTTTGTAAAATAATACAAAAACTGATTTGTTTTAGATAAATATATTGTAAATAAATAGCTGTGAAATATAAATATATTAAGATATATATTTAGCTGTTTTTTTGTTTGTGTTTTTTTTAGACTGTAAATATACTTGTTATTGTGAATTATCATATATAAATTTAAACAAAATTAATAATGTAAATAGTTAGCTTTGTTCATTGTTAAGCTTGAATTTAAGACCATAATGTGTACATATGTATTTGTTCAAAGGAAAATTTATCTTCAAAGTGCACATATTTCAAAGTATTAATTCTGATACATTATTTCATTGTTAGAAAATTTTCATATTGTATTTTATTAATGAAGCATTTATTCTATTTTCTAGGTCTATTTACTGTATTCATGAACATTTTATTCAATATCTTTTAAAAACATATATAATTGAATTATGCTAATTTTGATTTATTGAAATTTTTTTTTCTTCTGGTTTCTGTATGTTAATTTTTGTTTCTTCCCCCTTTCTTATGTGGGCAGCTTAATTGGTAATTGAAATAAAATCACTCTTCACTGCTGAAATGTCATTTAGAAGGTGTTTTTGTTTTACTGTTGCAGTTCAAGTTGTGAAGAATAGGTAATTATGCTTTGCTTGTTAGTTTTACTCTGTAATCTGCTTTGGTTAGTTTGATTTGTTATAAAACAACACCTGCCCACATTACTGTAAAAATTAAAAAATAATAATTGAAAATTAATAATGCGTAACTTTCTGAAGTCTAATGTTGTATATAGGTCTAAAAATGGCAAAACTTTACTTTAAGAACTGCAAAACAAAAGAGTTATGTCACTGTTATTAAAAGATTCATTCTATATTGTCTTATATTTTCTTGTCACTATATTGTTATATATATGTTTTAAATGTTATTGTATATTAATATGGACTAGAGAACTGCAGGTGAACAGTTCTGGTGTTTGCCTTTATTGGGTCGTGTACAGTATTTTTCTATGTCATGATCAAAGAAGAAAAAAACAAACTAGTTTTTCTTTTTATCAGATTACTTAAGCTCAATGCACTTTAAAAACAGGCCCTGTCCGACTTTCAACTTACGTAGCCAATAAATGTTCCCTAATAGGATTTTATGTTTGATTTTGATGTTCAAAAGTTGATAGTTTTATATATTATAATGAAGTTGCTAAAATACATATTGCCTATTGAAATTAGTTAGGTTTTGACTAGGCAGGAAAACCAATGACTTAATAGTGTCTAAATTTCTAAAATGGTAATCACATACGAATGGAGGTTTTTTTCTCAACTGTGAACATTTTTTAATGTAAGTTTCCATGTTGGAGAGTGCCTCTACATAGTGTTATTTTTCTATGCTGTATTAATGTGTACACAATTTATTAGCACTTGCATAAACAATTTAGTTTTTCAATTAGTTTATACTCTACATTGTAAAGACGTCTAATTAGTAAAGTTGTATAGTCTGGTTTTATTGTATTTGTTAGTTCATGTCTATTTGAGCTCATTCGTTACAAAGCATCTTCAATGTTTTCACTGCTGTATTTATTTTAGTTATCTTCTCATTCTTTGTCTCATTTATTGGCTGGACATTGTCTATTTCTTAGAAATATTGTTTCAAAATAAACATTTATATCAGTTAGCTGAACAGAATGATAAGTGTAATGAGATATGTTTGTGATACATTTATTTGAACTAACAATTGTCTGAACATGCAGAAAATGGAAGCAATTAATTTTTGTTTAATCTGTGTTAGACCTTTTAAAATCAATTTTATTATTATTTAAGTAAGTTTAAATATTCTTACAAGATTGTCTTTGAAAGTTTAGTTAGGCTGTGATGAATGTTTTTAAATATAAATATATTTTGTATCTTTTTTATGTTATTTTTTAAAGATTGATATATATAACAAGTTAAAGCGTTATGAAGGTTTTTACAATAAAAATTCTGTTAGTTTTTTTACAAACCAATTGTTGTTTACAAAAACAGTCTTTATATATTGTGGTTTTCTGCTTAAAGAATGTTCCACATAATGAAAACAAACCCTAGCTGAGTGACTGACAAAACCATAACCCACACATTCACTTAGAAGTAGTAGGAAAACTAGTGAACACAATGATTTTAACATGCAGCAATACAAAGTTCAAGCTTTGCTACATTAAATGTAATATAGATTTGGTCTAAATAAAAATTGTTCATACTTTTGAGTTACTCTAGTGTTAAAATGTGCATGTTTAAAGATGATCGTTATCAGCTTAAGCTATAAGCATGAAAGTAGCGCTATATAAAAGCTTTAATTGAATTTCAAGAAAAAAAAGCACTCTTAGTGAAAAGAATATTTTCTCAGTTGCTAGCTTGGGAAAGGCATAATCTTCAAATCTGAAGGAACATCCAAAACATGTAAAACAAAAACAATCTAAGGGTTTTCAAAGATAGCAGCGCTTTTGTGGAATAAAATTAGAGTAGACAGTTTAAAACTTAAACTGAGAAAGTTCTTTCTTAAATCATGTACTAGTATTTGAGTTCAGTTCCAGTTTCTGCTTGCAGCAATTTAACAAAAAATTGTTTCTGAGATTTTAAAAAAAAGGGGGCAAATGTTAAAAACACAACTGAAACATAGCTAGAAAAGATAATTCTACTGTAAGCAAATCATCAGCTTAAGGCTAAGGCTCATATTTTTGTCAAACTTAGGTTTTATTTTTTTTTTTATACTAATGAATATTTGTCATTGAACTGCTTGGTTGCTGATGATTTTATGTTTGTCTACTATTCATCCTTCTAATTGTCTTGTCATAAAACATTGTTGAAAATATATGTTCTATGGTCTTGTGTGTATGTGTGCTTATTTTACCTCATCTCACATTTTTGTTAATGCTGTACCAAGTTTCTAAATCATCTACAGTGTTATATCAATTTAGTTTCAGAAACTTGTAACATTAATATCAATTTTATGAGTAATTAGTTTGATTTGAATGTGACTATTTTCTTTATACTTAAACAATTATTTTCTTTAAATGTATATATATATAATTTATTACTTCATTAATAGTAAACACTATATATTAAATACATTATAATTAGATATTTGAATTACTTATTTCTTACTATAGTATAGAACTGTTTGCATCATATTTGACTGCAATTTTAGAAGACATATGATTTTGTTAGCATTAACGTGCATTAAGATATGTTTATGTACTATGTATATACACTATTGGTCTTCAAATCAAAATTGCTGAAGCTATATGAGATGTCAGAGAAGGTTTATTAATTCTCTTCAATAGAGATCTGTTACCTAGTGAATGTTGTTAGGTTAACTGTTACGTCATCTTTAGGTTTTGTTTTAAAACATTGAAGCAGTTTTTGTAGGCCAACAATATAGCACTAGTAGTGGCACTTTTTTTTCTTTTTTTTTTTAAGAGTTTGTTGATATTTTTTGGCAGAAAACATTTTTTTCAACTGTTAGCTAATTCATTCCCTACTTTGTGTTTATAGAAAAAGGGTATGATACTAACCTAATTGTTACATGGTTGACAGTGAGTTCACCAAAGTACTCTAACACAATGTTTAATAAATGTGATGTTTTTAGAAAAACAATAGATATTGTTTGTTGTTGCTTTTCTGTTTACTGTGTCACATTAGTTCATGTTCTTCTTTGGCATTAACCATTTTAGATGATATTTTTCTCTCCTTGTAATGAGATTTCACTGTTAATATGTCACATTTTCTCTTTGCATACTGTTAGAATTTTCTTAATGGGATGATCTGATTAAATAACAAACAAAAAAAATACTAGTATAAAAATCATTGTGATTCTTTCATGCTATGTAGCCTTGTTTAGACTGTCCCACAACTTTATGTGTTAAATATCAGTTCAAGTTAAAAATAAAAATGAAATCATGCTTATTTAGAGCAATAACACACTCTGATTGTAATTCTAAGCAAGAAATCGAGTTATAAAACACTTATGATTTGTTGTATGAAAATCCTGTTATATCTAGCCATTAATACTATACACATTTTTTTTTTTTTTTTCCTCATTCAACTGCCATTATATACATTTATATATTTACATGAAAGCACATAATGTGTGTATAAAGGTGTACATAAATTAACATTGTCTTATCAAAGAAATTAATTAGAATATAAAAAATTTGGGGCATAATTCTTGTTTCATTTCACACACACACAAAAATATTTTATTTAAGGAATAATGAAAATAGTTTAGCATGTTTTGTTTTGGTTTACTTTTGTTTTTAAAGTAAGATTTATTTATTTATTTATTTATGTAGTTAACAAAATTGATTTTTTTTTTCAATGTTAATTTGCATAGGAATTTATAAATATAACAAGAACTTTATTTTTTGCATGTAGGTATCTTTATTATTGAACTTGTAAATAATGTTATTAAATATTCTGTCATATTGTGCATTAGGTGTAAATATCAATATTTATAATAAATAGTTATGGTTTAACAGGATGTTTTTATGGGCAACTAAAATGTTCTGTATTCTTAGTTGTACTTTCATGGAGTTCTGTGTGTCTTAGAAGAAAACAAAATAATGATATAAGTTGGATTTTTTTTTAGAAATGTGTACATACATGTAATTGTTTTTGTTGTTGTTTTTTTAATTATTATAACTTTTTTTTTGTTCCCTCTCCACTGAATTGTCACCTTTAGGTTTGGGGTTTAAGGAATGTATTCTAGGATAGGAAATATTTGTTTTAAAGTAGTATTTAGAATAAATACTATCTTGCAGACAATGCATATCTTGTATAAATGGTACAATTTATCTGAGAGCGAAGGGTTCTTTCTTTTAAGTATCCCCCCCCCCCCCCCCCCCCCCCCCCAAATGTAAAAAAAAAAAAAAAATAAGCATTTGTTGTTACTGCTTAAATATTAGAATTGTTTTAATTAACACAGCCATATTTTTTTTCTTATTTTATTAAAGATACTGAATGGTCTTGTTTTTTTTTGTTTTTTTTATGGTCCATTTTGTAAAATATTTGTGCGTTGTTCAAATTTTAACTTCTAGTGATTCTGATTCAATATTATTTTGTATAAATTCTTTTATGTTTTAATCTAAAATTGTTACAAATATTTCAAGTTAAAATAATAGAAATAAATTATTAAATTCTTGACCAATAAACACTGCATTTTAAAATTATTTTTGTTCTTACACTGTCAGATACACACATTTCAAATGAAACAGCGAATATTTTGTTCTTAAACTGTCAGATATACACATTTCAAATGAAACAGCGAATATTTTGTGCTTACACTGTATTTGACTAGAGGGGTCCCAAACGGAGGATGCATATTCTATTATTGGCCTAACCAAGGTTAAATAACATTTTAATTTTATGTTCTTATTTGATTTATAGAAATTTCTTTTCATAATTGCTAATACACTGTCAGATATACACATTTCAAATGAAATAGCGAATATTTTGTTCTTACACTGTCCGATATACACATTTCAAATGAAATAGCGAATATTTTGTTCTTACACTGTCAGATATACACATTTCAAATGAAATAGCGAATATTGATTGATAGTTTTGAGTTCATTAGAAGCACATTGTAGAAACGTGTTTCTAAATCATTCATGCAATATATTACATTGTGACATTCGCTTGGCAAGACAGCAAAACTCAGAGACACAATACAATAAAACTTTGATCATTCGCCCACCAAGACATAATGCAATAAAACTGCTAATTCGCCCACCAAGACACAATACAATAAAACTTAAATGATTCGCCCACCAAAACATAATACTATAAAACTTACATAATTCGCCCACCAAGACACAATCCAATAAAACTTCAATGATTCGCCCACCTTTCTAACTTACCTTAAAAGGTTCAGCTATGGGTGAGTGCGAAATTCCAGGTGATCTGGGGTTTCCCAAATGCTTATATTCCAGAGTGAGAAGTGCAAACATTTGTATTTGTGTGTTTGAAACCGGGTTGACTAACCGAAACCCTAATAGTGACCAAAGAGATGTTTACAGAGTTGTTTTTTTTCTTTTCTAACAGACAGAGAAAGAGTTTCTCTTTTCCCAAAAACCAAATTGTAGCTCATCTTATGCACATTGCTCAAAGAGACGGAACTTCCGCAGTACATTGATTGTGCCTGTTGCTACAATAACAATAATGTATAATTCAACACTGTTCTTCCTGGCTAATAGACTTTGAAATGATAGAATAGGCAACAGTGTTTCATGTTAACGTTTGTCAATGTTAAATCTGGACTACAGATGTGTTAAAGGGCGCGGCGACTAAGTGGTAAAGCATATGGTTTCCCGTCCCGAGTTTGCATCTCAAAGAAGACGGATTTCTCATTTCGGCCCCTGAGTCGACCCAACTCTAGTGGGTGCCTATGTAACTTGTCATGCATTCGTAGCTTACCTAAAGGAATGCACATAATGTTATATTCTGTTGTTTGACCACTAGGCCTACTAAAGCCTGAAGTCAATTCTAGGATAAAGATGACACTTTTGTTAACAACCTTATCATATACATACAGATGTCTCTTAAAAAAATAATATAGTTACATGCTAGGCGTACCCATTTGTTAATTAGAGACTTTGGTTTTCAGACAACCCGTTCCATATTCCATTTGGCACTTCACTAGGGCACTTGTATTGATGTCTTATCTTTAAGACTGTTCATGTTAGACCTACTCGGAGATCCTCAATGTTCTTTTGAGATTGGGGCACAAAATGGAGTAGATAAATAAATAGGCTTGGCCCTTGACTCATAGAGTGTTCTTTTCATGCAGACAATATGAAGAAAGCGTCATTCCACATGAATGTTTGTGAGAATGAAAAATCTAATACAATAGATGTACAGCCTTGTTTGATGCCAATGTTGTGGCATGTTTCATCAATAAAACTGTTTACTTGGTAAAGTGGACCTCGTCTCTTTCTTTTTGTCCTCCTTTCTGTACACTTTTTGAAAGTGTTGGTGTCTGGTAAAGTTAAGTACCCATTTCAGACCTTGCGATCTATGGAGCAGATGATGTAAAGGTTATCTGTTTCTGTGGCCCACGGTTAGCGAGGGTGTCATGTGGCCAGCACAACGACCTACCTTCTTTACTTCTCCCTAACTAATGTCAGGCACCCATCAGATCTGGGTGGACTCAGAGGAGCCCTAAAATCCCGAAATTCAAAATCCCAATATTCACCAGGATTCTATCTAGTAGCCTACTGTCTCCGTATATTCAAAACTAATTAATTAAGAATAACTGATAAAATTATTGGTCAATTTTTGTGATTGATTCATGGTTGTTATGGAAAATGTATAATTGTGCAAAGTTTCAACTTGATCTGAGAATGGGAAGTGGCAGAAACAACGTGTGCAAAATTTGTACCAGACAGGCAGGGTTTGTATGAGCTTTGTAAAAAAGCAGATAATAATGTAGGCTACCGGTATTTGCGATTTGCGTGCGCTTGCATAAGTCCACATTGAGAACTACAACTACGAGCTTAAAAATAAAATAGCAAACTTTTTATTTGATTAAGGATTTAAATGTTTGTTTTAAGTTTGTAGAGGACAGTAGTAGAAATACTCACCCCCCCCCCTCCCCCATTTGTTTTCGTCTCTGGCTAAACATAGGTCTATCCTAAGGTACATTCAATATACACTAGACTTACATTGGCTTACATGTACCACAATGCACTCTGATGGCATGATGTGTGTTAGTAAATAAAAATAAGGACAAAAATAACTTTGTGATGTTGTAACATTTCTTGAAGCATATTCAGGTTTTGTCAAAAGTATTTTTTTTTAAAAGTGTTTTTTTAATAGCAAGTTGGGGGTCTACATATGCCATTATTTTTGTAAGGTAAGTAGCCAACAACAAACTAGCATACTTATAAATAATATCTTCTGACAGGGACTGTCAGCGTGCACTATTGTTTTAAAATACTAAGTACCGGTATTCAAATTGTCTCACCACCTTTACATATCCTTTAAGTTTTTTAAACCACGCGCATGATCTGTCGACCGTCTTTCTTCTCTCCCGTCTTTTGCCTTGACTAGTAGGGTCCCTAACTCTTTCAATGGCAGACGGTGGTCACGGTGCAGACCCATCCATTCCTTAATGTTGTGTTCCCAGCGCTTTCTCGACTCTGCCTGCATCTTCTTTTTCATGTGATATGTCTATAAGCAGTTCATCGTGGGGCCTTATTGCTATTATAATCCTGTTTCGAATCTCCTCATTTGTGATGCGGCATTTGTAGATGATACCTAGTAAATAATCCTTCTATACCATCTTAAATTCCATTGGTAGGAACCTCCTCTCTAGTTTTGCAGTTAGCGTCCAAGATATGCAGCCATGACCAAGAAGCGCATCTGTCTTTCTTTTTTTGTGTCGCGGTCTATGCCTTTGTCTTCCCAGATTGTTTTGGGCAAAGTGTAAAGCGTTGTAAAGATTAAAAAAAAAACAACTAAATTGTGTTATTTAACAGCCGCCTCGGTCAATTTGTCAATCTGTCAACACCATAGGCCTATTCCTGCAAGTGTGCAAACAAATAAGAAAGGACATCGAATCGCCAAGCGTTGGGATTTATTTTTCATGGATCCTGCACTGATTGTCGCAGGCAATTAAGCTTTGAGTATTAAAAAAAATGTGTTTTTTTTTTTAAACTGCGATTCTTGGAAAAAAAACAAAAACAAACTTTGGACCACCTATGAGTTTGTTAAAACATAAGCTCTTTCTGGTATCTTTTTATTGTTTTTTTTTTTTTTTTCAAGTTTAAATAATTCTACGGTTAGTATTGAAATTAAACAACATTAGGCTACAAAGAGTGTTTCTGTGGAAAACAGCTACTCGAATCTGTAGTGGTCCACACAGGTAGGTAATATCATCAGCACGAATAGCAGAAGCTATGAACTAAACTGCATTACACAACTACAGACTATAAACAACCACAACCATACTTGTGTTTAAACAAAATAGACCTGTGCGGGTCGAAAGTGTTGCTGAAATGCTGGTATTGTTAGGCCAGGTAACGGTATAATATATATGCAATGCTAATTTAATTGGCCTATAAATGATAGTAGACACTGCTTATTTAATCTTGTTAAAACAGGGAAAAAAAAAAAAAGGCCTAAAAGTATCCAGTAATTTGTTGGTTTAAAAAAGAAGAGTTCGCTTTCAGAAGTATAAGTCGGTGTTCCAAAACTTTACAAGCTGCAAAATATCATGAAATCGGATTTTCAATTTCTTTTCAATTTTTTTAAGAATCATACTTGAAAGACGGATAGACAGACGAACAGACAGACCACAAAAAAATTAATAACGAGGTACGCATCCCTTTGTTAACATGCATGACGCGTAGGACGTTATAATCATCTTCTTTTTGAAGTAACGTCAGTATTATATAAGATAAGATAAATAGGCCCATGTGCGTAGCCAAGATTTTTTTTTTTGGGGGGGGGGGATGTTTATTGTGCCCTAGAATATGTTCTTCCTGGAGTTTGTGGAAAAATTGTAGACTCCGCGCCCTTGTCAGCAAAGGGAGCCCCGCCGCCAAGCACTATTTCCAAAGTTTTTTGTTTTTTTTTAAATTTAAAAATCTAACGTGCTATTCTTACTGACTTAGATCCTCCCGCGCCATTCGGCGTATTTGACTGTAAGCTGTTTCCACAAAAATCTGTCACTGGCAATGTCTTAAGCCTCTTCCCACCTGCTCTGAGGGCCTCTAAGAAAGTGTGGCGCCAGGTTGTACTGGGATGTCATCGCAACTCTTATTATGCGTAATTCATTTTTTTCGGAGAACATGTCCCGCAAACCTCATGCGACGCTCTGTCACAACCTTAAGGGGTCGACTCCCAGTTCGGCATAGGATTTCCTTGATTGAGACCCGAATTCTTTAGGTCCTATCTCCTTGACCGTTAGGAAGGATTTCAAATAGCAGACAAGCGTGGACCAAGAGTTCTTCACCTAATATCCAGTTTGAAGTTTCTGAAATGCCATCGACCATTACTACGATTGGGTCGTGCCATATAGACCTACGTACCGTAGAGCTTGGTCCTCTGATCAGAAGAACGAAGGCC